ATGGCCCCACTTAATCGCTTTATTGTGACACATTTACTGAAATTCGTTTTTCCGACGATGGCGATGACCACTCGCAGCTTTTCCACCACTGCTGACGTTTCATATCAACGCCGGGTCAATGAATTTCCCAATCGAATAATTACGGTTTTTATTAATTAAACAAAAATAGAAAATTTGCTCACGATTTTAAAACTGTTAAAATAAAGTTCTTCAGTGACTGTTATGATTTTAACTAGTTTCTATGTTAACATTTGTATCTACTACCAGTATGAATTTTGCCAATAGTTAAATATTTACGACTTTCAAAGTTTAAATAAGATCTTTTATGTTTATTTCCTCTTCTGAGATTCCTCTCTTGTTTGCACTGGCAGTGATCTTGTTCAGCATATATTTTACGATATAATCGATACTGAACCTGATCTTTACAGTTTTGTCTAGAGTGAGAGTTTTTATGTATGTTATTTTTTCAATAATGTTTGACCCAGTTTTTCTTTTATATCTCGCGCTATATATTTTTTTCGTGTGGCTGAGTTTACATGAACACATGCTTTCAGAAAAAATGGTTATTCATTTTCGTTTCATTTTCAATTCTAATCGTCTTAGTGATTGAATTTCTGGCGATGAATTCAATAAGAAATTCCGTAAGAAAATTTCGAATCCGAAAACCCCCGTGAAAGTAATTAAATATGCTGTGGAACACCCTGTACAGATAAGCAATTACCTCTCGTTCGGATCTCACCCGCCAACTAATTAATGTATTAATATTCCTCTCAGAACTGAACACATAGCAGTAATCATTAGTGATAATTATCTGACTTCCTAAGTACATAAATAGCAACCCTTACACTGTCATTATCCTACAGGATGAACCACGTCTATTAAAATTAAGTGAGTAAGTAATATTAGGGAAATTCTATGCGTTTAATAAAATATAAATCCACACCATTGATTTGATTTAAAATTAATTCTACCAACCTTTACATCGTAAATATGTTCATCATGTAGGTAAAGGAGCATGAATTATTTTTGATCAGTATTAAGATATTAGCTACATCAAATTTGCATTAAATATAATAAGAAATTTTTGTATAAAAAGGCATAATATCAGCTTATCAAAAAGCGATTTGTCCTAACAGCCCTTGCGTGGGATAATTTCACCTTTTAACCCTATTACTATCAAAACGTTTTATCTCATCCAGTTATGAGGGTTAACAAGGGAACTGTGTTGATTAAACTGTTTAGTTTGGTTTATTTCGCAAATTATACAGAATACGGCGTAATTCTATACGCAAATAACATTTAACCAACATAAATTAAATATTTATTTTGTAATTTTTCGCTTCTAACTACGCAATTTGCGGCACTTAAAATATTAGTTTTCAGTTTGAGGCGAGCAGGTATCGGATTGGCGTGCGAGTTAATATAGGAGACAGATTAATAATGTGAGCATCACATAGAAAACGAGCACCAAGAAGGTCAAAATGTAAAGAAATTTAGTATGCGAGTAGAGGGTGTCAGCCGACCAGAATGTAGTGCAGCTGATAAAGAAGCGAGACTGTCAGTCAGCCTCTTCTCTTACAATACTTTCTCAATTTCCGTAGAAGTGATGTGACATTCCATCATGATGTCACAGCGGAGTAAATTAACAAAGCAACGTTCTTTAATAACCCCATCTTTTGGTGCGCTTCTTACTTCTTTTTAAACGGCCTGCCACTTGCCTCAGACGGTTCAGCTATATTTATTTTCTTTTGTGTTCACTACCGCAACATATAACGGATCGGTTTTTGATAATTGAATTTCTACTGAGTGATTCCTTCGAGCTTCGTGATTCACATACGCCGACTAACAGCTGTATTTATCTCGGAAAATACATCGTTCTCGGAAAAATGTTTTTTGATAAGATTTTTTTTTTCGATTCGTTGTAAAATATTGAGGAGTTGTAGCGCGTGCTTCGACGGCGAGATTCTTCAAAGCAAATATACTATGTCCCTTTCGAATCGTTTTTGCGAGGCTTTACTGTTTATGTGAAGATCCAGCTACAGTATCACCTCAACTATTCATAGATCTTCGAGGATTTGATGGCCATTTTTCGACTTGTTTTATTCGTATTATATCCAGTTCGCATGGGATATCCGCTGATCTGCCTTCCTTAGATAGGACAAAACATGTGTCTGCATAATGCGACTGAAAATTCATATCCGAACGCAGGAAAATCTTCGGTAGTGGCTTCGCTTCCAACTAGTAATGTATCATTTTTATCGACCGATTGAATTATTTATTACATTATTAAAAGGACTAAATTACTAAATAAAATAAAAGGCGCTTTTATTGGCGAATTGAGAATAAAGTTGTGTCATTTATTTCGTTCGGTAATACAAAAGAAACGGTTTTCGAGTTCCTGCGGATAATGGTAATTTTTTAACTAGGTTAACAAAGCCCGTTTGTTCATTTTATTTAACTTGTAGTAACAACAAGAAACCCGTTGAATTTATTAACTTTACGAGAAGGGGATGTTTTTGTTGTCGAACCTGTCCGGCGTGTCAGTAGCAACATCCTTCTTCGTTCCTTCGATCCGTGGTTACAGCGTCCGTCCCTCTATTTTCTATTTTCTTTTCTCTTAAGATAGCTACACAGTCAAAATTTTGCTCAAAAATCACCTGTACTTCGTTTTCTATCGCAATCTAAATATTTCGCATTCCGTTCAACAACAAATATATTTGTAATTATTAATGTAAATATGGTTAATTTAATATATTATGCAAATTATAATCGAGTAAACAATTTTTACTGTGTAAGTTTTTTCTATAGGATTGAAACTACTCGGAACAATACATAAAGCACTAACGCAAGGTATGGCTGTGTGAATATTTATGTGCTGCTTAACTGCTTGTCTCATCTTTTATATTTTCTCTAGTTTGTATGGATTCGAGCTTGAAAGAAAAATCCCGCATTTTAGTAAAGTTGCATTTTCTGATTTCTAATTGTTTCTTCCACTTTTACTTCTCGTTTTATCTTAGTTTTTATTGCAGGATGCGGTTTTATGTAATTATTGCGATGGGTTGTTAATAAAACGGAACACTTAATATATTGCCATTGCAAGAATGGAAAGGATTATTTCTTTACCTTATTCTAGAAAAATTTGCAAAGAGCATTTTACGGAACTAGCACATTTCAGGAAGCACGGAATTCATTTAATGAATAAATTATAAAAAGGTATTTTTAACGTTTTGATTGTGGCTTCATACTCTCAAAACTTTTAATTATCAGACAGTATATTTTACATTTTTATTTTCAACATACAGTTTCAAATTATAAACTTCTGATTAACAAATTGTTAATATTTCATTTTAAACATTTTACAATGTTACAAAGTTGTGAGGCTTTTTTTCAGTAAAATTAAAAAATATATAGTTTCATCAGGTAAATATGACATATACAACGTTACTCGTATCTCATTTCGAATATGTAAACGTTCCGCATGAAAATAGGTGATTGGCATTTTTATTAGGGCCATGCAGCCTTGTGAAAATAGAATAATTTGTCCAATTTCAAAGTCGAAATATAGTCATCAGTTTAACTGCATTGCTAGATTAAAAAGAATCCACATACTATGTATTTTCAAAAAAAATACATCAAACACGAATCGATATTATGTGTAAAACTCTTCATTTTGTTGCGATTATTTTCAAGCCGAATTTTATATTACAAACTTTAATTCAATATTTTCGCAACGGAAAAGTAAAAACTTTTTACTTTAATCTTTCTGGAATTAGTTTTGTACGCCGAAATCTAGTTGAAGATATAAAATGTAAAAATCGGGTGTATTAGGTATACGCAATCGTTTTTATGCAATTTAGCCAGCATTTTTCCAAGTAAATTAAAGCGTTCCATTCTATTTTCAGTTTATAAATTCGTCGGTTCAAATACAAAAAGCCAATAAATTAATTTGAATAGGCCATAAATAAACAAACTCCGGCCGTTGAGTGCGAAAAACTTGTTATAATTTAAACGAACATTGTGAATATTGCGGTTGTGTCGTTCCGAACTTCACACCTATTACGTAAATTATAAAATCATTACTGTTTTTTTTAATTCAATTATCGCAAGTCGATAGTTCGAAATTCATGTTTGTACTATCGGAGGTTTCGTTCTAAAAATTATTCGTAATTAACGTTTTATTTTGTTACTAGCCTTTCGTTAGTCCCTCTGACAACAAAGAGCTCCAAAAATCCGTAGTCAAACAATACCAATAGGTAGGTAGTGTTTAAAAAAGTCCACCGCCTCTTGCTTATGCCGTATTCGCGCTTGCGATTTTTTTTCTTTGACATAATTTCCTTTAACACTCTTGTCAACTCCACGCGTTCGTATCCTTGTAGTCGCCATTTAGGTTTAGTTGCTCTAAAAGTCGACTGCGCTACGCGCTCCCCTTATAATTGATTATTGAAAAGTCCGCATCCTCCGTATGCAAAAAAAATAATCAGCAATATTCGAGTGTTGTGTATTCCGTTTGCGGTTGTTGATAATAGTAACATCGCAACGTAACATCAGAGCGACGAAGGGACCGGGAAACAGAGAACGACTCGTTGGGAATTGTAGCACGGGGAGTTTTAGAAAAGCGAAGGGAAATGTAGCGACCTCTCTCGACGCCGTCAGTGACGGATCACTCGGAGCGAATCCAAGGGGTTTTTTTCAAATCCGATTTGAAATCGGCGAAAATTTTTGAGTGCATTTGGAAGTTTAATATTTATTAGCTAACTAAAACTTTTTGTAGACGATAATTGCTTTGATGATCCCTCTAATAAACTATGGTAGATTTTGATTGGGGAGATCGCACGTGAAGTGCGCGAAGTTGATTAAAAATGTTGATAAAACTTGAGCGACTGTCGCTGAAATCGGCAGTGGATACAAGGGGCATAAGCGACTACACTCACTTTAATGTCTGTTGCAGGGCCATGGGACTCAACGGCCACATAGACGGGGTGGATTGAGATCGTGCAATCATGCATAACGTACAAGCTCTTCGGACGACAAACCCACATCTGCTCTTCTATATGCTGTTGATATTTCAGTTTTACGGTAAGTCCACAATTAGCTTATAGGAATGACTTCGACTATTCAGCTATATTCCCCCGACAATTTATTTTCGATATCTTATGTCTGTGTGTACTTTCTATCTAGAGGAATATTCTTTTTCACGATTCGCTGAACATTCTTTTACCTAAGGTTTCGTATATTCATAACATTTTTTAATACTGGTTTATACGGCATATTAATTTAAAAAAAATCTCTTTTACAACGTTTTATTTAATCCTTAGGAAATAGTAAATTAGTCTGAGGATATTCGACCATAACCAACCAGCTATAATCGGTTAAATTGAATATTTCGTTAATTAACTTATCGAAAATATAATTTATAAACAAAATGCGATATTCAAACAACGATATCTATAAACATTGATTCATAAATTTAACATTTATTCTATATCATTTATCAAAACATTAACGAACTCGATTGTAAACCTCGTATAACGATTTGTTTTGATTCCTGTTATTCGGTTAGTTCATTAGGTATTAAATCCGCATCATAGTTAAATCGTGCAGCATTTTACAAATATCCTAGATGTACCAACCTATTAAAATATTGTTTACAAGTTTTACACAAATACCCAATCTAATATTAGATACTTAATCTCATTAGAACTCAAGCAAACGGAATTTTAATATCAATAATATGCTTTAATGAAATAAGGGAACGAATTTAAAAGCAGTTATTAACGAATTAATTGATAGCCGTTGACAAACAAACCGGAGATAAAATCGAACTATTAAGATGGAAGTTGGGGCGCGCGAGTCGGGAGTTTAAGCGAGAAAGCCGAATTCAAATTTCAACTTAGTGGCACATTAACCGCGCTGCCAGAAACGTATCTTATTTGTTTTAATTTCTTGCGTTGTTGTAGGCTTTTGTTTCATCGGTCTGAATAATTAACTTACCGTCTCGGAATCACAATTCTCTTACGTGTGAGACATTTTAATGAGATTCCTCTAATTTAGTAGCTCGCGTTCCCAAATTAACTATCCGGGATTATTGAATATTAAAATTCTTACTTTTGAAAACATTCCTTAAATTAGTACTCGTTGAATATTACTTATATATTTATCACACACACGAAACTTTTGAGACAACCCTCTCAAACTAAATTTATTATACCAAACCAGTAATAAACGGTAATAAAAATGTTCCAGCAATATTTTTTTTGGGTCATAAAGTAATTACTGTCTAATCAATCATCTACCTCCATATTATAGTAGCTAATACTTTAATAGATTATAGAGACACGTTTCAATAAATTGATTAATCGCAAATACAACAAAGACAAAAGTCCTGTTTCGAATGGCGCATATAACTTCTAATTTAACGATGTATAGAAATATCATTTTATAGGTAGATAGTTGAACGATATAATCGCGTTTGCACATCGGGCGAAATGACAACGGTTGCGAGATTTCCACATCCATATTTATTCGCATGCAGAGGTGCATATATACACAAAACTGACAACGAAATACTGCGTTACTTTTGAGCTAATCTTCTGCATCCACATAACCCCTACATTTATTCCAGAAGGAATAAACTCATGCTTTTTTAATTACCTAACGATAGTTTAATATTATCTGTAAAGTTAGGTAAGACATTGATACATGAATATTCGCTCCATTCTAAACTTGTTGAAATATTATTTGGAATAGCACGTGGTCTTATTTTCCTCTCACATTGTTACAAACTTTTGGTAGCAAGTGTTGAAATAATTTCGAAACTTTACAAACGAAACTATTCGATGTAAGTTTCTTTAAAGAGAAAAGCTATATGTTTAATAGGTCTTGTCTAACAAATACAGCTAATTAAAATAGTTAGGGTTAAGTTTATTTGCTGCTTACTTAAGGTTTCATCTTTCCTTTGGAATGTAGAGTAGGGTGACACCGTTTTAATGCGAATTGGAAAAAAATAGCGAAATAAAAAGTTCTGTTCGAGACTTGATGTGGTCGGGTCTCGGTACTCTATTTATCAAATTTCTTGTTAGATCAAAGAAAGGCGACAAAGCGAATGCGCGTCCAGTTATTGTATTTGACAGAGAATCTACGTGGCCACTCTTAATCTACGAAGATTTGCATATTATGTGTTATATATAGCCGGCAACTGACAGATACAGAGATGGTCCGCAACGGTACAGGTCCCTAGCTCTATAGAATATCGCCTTGTTTTGCATTGAGTTATACAGGAACGGACTAGAACTCATTAATATTCATAAAATTTTTGTTACTCCGTGCAATAATTCAGCCAATTCGCAACGGAAAGGCCTAAGGAATCGTACGAATTGTGGGTTTTTTAAAAAAGTGGGCCAGACCGATCCCGAAAAGTCGCCCTACAGAAGACTCTGTTCCGTGTGCCAGTCGTTAAAGTCAACTCTTAAGACAATATTAAGTGTTCACTACTGTTATGTAGCCTGTGAATTAACGCTGAAATACTCGTCGCGTTTAATGAAAACTTTTAGATTCTCACAATTCATTTAACGACGAAAAAAATTGTTTTAATCGTCTACTTAAAAGAACGTTTCAAATCAAATAAAAATTAATTGATTTGTAATCGTTGATTAACTGTAAAAGTTTACGGAACGCAAGCTTCCACGTTTTAAATTCGGAGTAGGTATACCCATTATAATGCAGGTCGATTGCAGAAACGGAGCAAAAGAACAACGCCGGTTACTAGTAATTCTGCTGGGTTCATCACCCGAACTATTCGCAATATTCGAAGTGCGAGAAAGAGCATAGCCCAATCTCCATCAACATACTCCGGTGTTATACCTGCTAGAAAACCATCCGAGCCAAAATCCAGCTAGCTGTAAGCATCAGCAATTAGAAGTGGAGTTCAGTCGCAACTCACGAGTCACGAGCCAGCCGGCCGTCACTCTTAACCACCCCCTTTAGGTTTTAGTGGGATTGCTTTTTACCCCATTCCACCCGCTATACCACAACTTATTGTATGATACAAGTGCGGCAGGTTTCCTTAATTACAATTACAACACTTTTATGTGCTTAATCCATTTCCAGTTATAAGCCTTCATTTTCGGGTGCAGGATGCGGAGGAACACTTCTAATAAAAGAACCTTCGAGGTTGCATTCTTGAGCATTTTGCAGCGTTAAAAGTGTAATTATTATTAAAAACTACCCTAAATTTATCATGCTGGTGAATTATTAATATTCTCGAAGGATATTGTCGAGAAAATGACGAAATCAGAGGTCACTACTGGGGTTTGTGTATCTAAGGATTTGAACCTTAAGCCTCATTAGCATCAGCATTGTTGCCTTGTGACAGGTTTCCTTAGTATTAAGGTCTGTCGTCCTCATTTCCCCTCCTACATCTAAGCTGTTAGTGTCCTTATTATTATTGTTGAAGGGTACTTTTATCGTCCAATTTTCCATATTTAAGCAACATTACACCGAACACACTTCACTACAAAAAATGTTACAGAATATTACGTTGGCAATTTTGTTACCTACGTAATATTATGTAATTTTTAAATACGGTATATATACTGTAAAAAATTCTCTTAATATATTCTGGATACACAATTTATACGGTTAAATTACAGAATATATAATGTAATGCATTACATTTTTATGTAAAGTCTCGAATTCCGGTGTAATTTTACAATGTAATTTCAGTATTACCTGTCTAGTTCTGTAATTTTACAGTCTTACATGATAGGCTATGTATTATAGTTATTTACATAATTTATTTAGTAAAACATACATAATAAATTAAGGAAAATTACAGAATTTTTTTTCAGTGTTGGGAAAGTTGCACCGTAAAGTAAATCAACTGTTTTCGCTGGGTTTTTAGAAAAATATTCCTCTTGAAAAACCATAGAAATTACCCGCAATCCTTCCTGTACAATTTTATTACCATCATCATTACTATTTGACTGCTCGCCATATTCGTTTCAGCGAAGCGAAAAATTTCATATGTTTACACATGTTTTTTACACTCTTTCAAACGGTGTGGCATAAACATCAATTTTATTTTATTTTATGCATTTCATATCTGCTGTTTTACCGCGTTTTTTTCGAATTAAAATTCACTAGGTGCAAGATTTTTTTAATAATTCGTATAATCACGTATTAAGTGTATAATTTCTTGACTAACACATTCAATCAATTGTCCTTAATAAATGCATTCGTGATGCTCTCTGCACAAATTACAGCATTTCGAAAATTTTCACGCCAACTGATATTTGCGTTTTGCTTTCCATTTTCATTTATCACAATCAAACTATCTCATAAATCACTAAATAAACCTACTTTTATTACTAGTTATTCAAACAGACCGTTCCATTTCGACGATAGAAATAAATTTGTTGGAATTTACTGGTACACATTCCACTCTTCTCACAATCTCGCCTATAGTTCCAGTTTGGACGGATAATAATGACAATAAAATTTTCGAATCCTACTTACAGGGTCCTTTCATTTGCACAATGCTAACTTTTCTACTCGATAGTTAGTAGGTAATGCCTACAGTTTAATAATCCAAGATTATTGGGTGATTACAGGTATGAATTTATTTGTAAAATAATTTAAACCTCTATTGAAAGTTTTGGTAAATTTTGAGAACATAAATTCGACGATTTGGAGAATCATTTTTATCATATTCAAAAATTAAATATGAAAATAGTCATTAGCTTGTATTTTCGAGCTACAATATTGAAAGGGAATGGCTAATATAATATTTAATTTCTTAATTATGGACCTTAATAATATCCCTCTACCTTTACAAGAGCTACACTTCAATTTATTACTTTGAGTATATCATTATCAACATTCCCTCCTCCTTAGTATTATTATTCCCAACTCAATCTTGTAATTTTCAATTTAATTGGAACATTGTATATTTCATCCATGTTGTTATAACGTAACGGGTGAATCCTCTTACCAGATGATGACATTTCGCGACTGCAAAATATACACAAGCAAACTGCTCCAGAAATTTATGTCCATTCAACCTCAACCGTGCGAAAATC